GAAAGCACTATTGGCTTCGGCCGTCCACGAGAATCTTGCCTTTTTCCTTTTTAATTTTAACAATGGCTCAGCGATAGCTGCAAAATCTTTTATAAAGGACCTATAATATGAACAAAGTCCTAGAAAAGAAGAGAGCTTCTTTGCCGTGTTTGGAGTCGGATACTTTTGTACAGCGATTATTTTTGATTCCTTTCTGAGATATCTTGTAACCTAAATATTTTAATTCAGGGGCTGCAAATTTGCACTTTTCGACATTAACTTTTAGACCGGCCTCATTTAATAAAGAAAACACCTGTCTTAAATCCTGTACATGTTGGTCGAGATTATCACTAGTAATAATGATATCGTCTAAATAGATAAATGTGGACTTTCCAAGAACAGGTCTTAACACAATGTCCATACATCGCTGAAATGTTGCCGGGGCCCCTGAAAGGCCAAACGGCATACGCAAAAATGCATAAGTGCCAGACTTGGTTATAAAAGCAGTCTTAGGCACGTCCTCAGGCCTAACCCCTATTTGAAAATAACCAGTCGTTAAGTCTAAAGTCGTCATATATTTGGTGATGTTTATGTTCCTTAGAATTTCTTCAATAATAGGTAACGGATATACCGGATATTTAGTTATGGAGTTTAATTTACGGTAATCAATCGCGAATCTCCACCTTTTTGGATGTGTCAAAGGATAGTCATTATTTTTCTTACATAAAACCACCGGGCTAGCATAACTACTTGAGATGGGCGTTATGATCTTTTTACGTAGCATATCGGTGATATGCCATTCTATAATTTTTTCCTTATTCTTATCATACCGGTATGCTTTGTGGCGAACTGGCATTGAATCTCCGGTGTCAATACTATGGTTAGTAACCTGAGTAAATCCTGGAATATCACTAAATAACGAAGCAAATTCATTTACCACTTGTCGGATTCTTCCTTGCTCGTCATTAGGCAGGGGGTCAAGATTTAACATCGGCGGTTCAGCCTTTTCTGCACGAACTGGTTTCATCGTCAGCTTAAGGGACGCTTCATTAAAATCCAGCGTTGCTTGTGCTTCTGAAAGAAAATCTATTCCTAAAATTATATGTGCTTGCAGATTCTTTACTATAAAAAACATCACCTTTACTTGTTCGTTCTTGATACGGACATACAGCGGTACTTTACCTATACACTTACATTTTTCTCCTTGCGCCGCTAACACTGTCGTATTATCCGAATTATATATGCGGTATTTCCGAAAATACTTCCTAAAAAATTCTTCTGCCACACAGGAACACTGCGCGCTTGTATCCAGGAGTGCGGTGGCTGGGATATTATTCACCAACACTTCAATCTTCGGAAGAGTCAAATTTTTCACCATTACTGTATTTAACTTGAAGGAAGAGGGCTTTTCGTGGCCTTCGGATTTCCGCACCCTCTCGTCAGCAGAAATCCGTTGTAGTTTAAATTATTTTTCATTTCCGTGCTTTCCTTCTTCTTCCACTGGCCTTGAGACTTTTTTCCTGGATTGCTATTGAACTGTCGACGTTCGCCGGCTGTTTTTGAATGCTCGGGTTTCCTTGCCCACTGATTCGCTTTGCTTCCGTAGCCGTGTGCTTGAGTTTGCTGTAGTCTTGGCGCACCAAATTGGTTTCGCTGTTGATATTGGCGTCTTCTTTCAACGTCCGCCGTTCTTCTACTTTCAAACTGGATTGCTAGCTCAAATAACTTTTCCAGTGTAGTCGGATTTCTTAATTCAATAAAGTTTTGCACTTGGGGCAGTAACCTCGGCAAAATCACTTGAATTATCTCAGGATCCGGACGGTTTCCATACAAGAGTTTGAAGACGTGAATTTTTCTTAAAATAAAGCTTGAGAGATTTTCGATTCTTTGTTGATATATGCTGAAAAGTTCCGTTTCTAATTTCGCACGATCCCTTACAACAGGGAAGGCTTTTACTAGGGCAGTCTTGAAATTCTCGTAAGTATAGGTGGGACTTCCTGCTTGACCCAAGAGACTTCTGCCTATACACTTGAACCAGTTAAGCGCTTGGCCCCTCAAAGCGCTGGTAGCTAAGGTAACTTTTTGAAATTCGTGTACGGGGTAGAGCATGAAGTGGTCATCCAATTTTCCCAAAAAACTGGTTACCGGTGAGTTTCCATTAAATGTTGCTTCTGGTTTCATCGAAGCGCGCATGGTCTGGACGATGTAACCAAATCCTTCCAGGGCGGCAGCTGGCATTTCTGGATTCTGAGCCGCTTCTGCAGACAGCACAGGTTCTTCTTGAAACTCGGCCATGGTTATTCTTCTTCGTTGGGCGCCACTATCAGGTTCAATGTTCCGTCTTACCTTCTTCGGGAACATGCAAGGACCTGACTCGGAACAGAGAGCTTACTAAAGCTATCTTCAAAACTGTGGGAAGTAGACAGGATACACAAGAAGGGTATACAAAACCCTTTATTTTTCTCTATTTACAATAACTTCCGTACTTCGGAATACACAGACCCGCTACTTGGGGTCTAACGTAAAAATATAAAAATAGAACTAAACTCTAATTTAACTTTAAAATAATAAACGTGGAAGATTGGCCTTATATTAACAGGAAGCCGTATGTAGTACAGAGAACTGTGAACACTACAATACGTTTAAAATTTATCAAGACGCTTAAAACCTCTGGCCTGGAAGGCAACCAGCAACTGCGTAAAACTTCTAAGGTAAGCGGCCTGCTTCGACTCACTGCTTCCTCTGTCTGGCTTGGCAAAAAGCCACAACTTAAATACTTGGCGTTCGCCAGACAAACTTTGCATAAATACATTAACGCTTATAATTCTGGCCGGAAGTAGAAAATAAGAAGTGATAGTAAAGATTAAAAATAAAATAAACGTTAGTAAAACTTAAGATCCTTACAAAGCGTCTGTTCTCATGAATTGCTTCATCAACTTTCCTTACCAAATCATCGGTGACAACAGAAGGCCGACCACTCCGAGCCTCGGCGTGGACATTTGTTCGACCTGCATTAAACATTCTTACCCACTTTCTCACCATTCCATCACTTATCGCGTATTCACCGTAAACTTCTGTCACTTGACAATAAATTTCGGCCGGTTTAACATTCCTCGCGTTCAAAAATTTAATCACGGCACGAATCTCACAGTCTCAGCGGGAGAACTAATTGTCTTAAATGTGCACAGCAAATTGAAAACACAACATAGAACAACCAAAATGGTAACAATTGAAAGTCAGTGAACAAGAAAGACTTGTGCGCATGCGCGGGACGCCTATCACAGCGCTGCGCGGCGCTAGAATGAAACGGTACTTAGTTTCCGAATACGCTACGTATTTATGTTTCGATACCATCAGAGAGAACGTATTTATCTAAAATATTAAGTGAATAACCTGTGTTATATATACTAGTGTGCAAAATTAAGACTGTTTGCTCATTATGTCAAATTTCTGAAAAACTAATGAACACATTTTGATGAAATTTGGCATGAATATACATTTATAACGGAGAAAGTGTAATTATTAGTGTAAGTACCATTCAAAAGTCATTTTATGAACGCATGATTTATAGCTCATGGTGCAGGAATGTCCAAAATCCACGTTATGATAGCGAAATGAAAATGAGTTTAAGTCAAATGAGGAGTCCCAGTCGCAATTGATCCCACTCCTGCAGGCATGGCAGTTTTTAACTTCGAGGTGTGTCTCTGAGAGGAATGGCGAGATGAAATCGCCCTCCCAAGAGCGTCCCAAACATTCTCTATGGAATTAATTTCAGAAGATCTAACTGGCCAATACAGGCGGTGAATATTCTCACTTTCTAAGTAACCGTCGACCAATCGAGCTTTACGTGGACGAGCGTTGTCGTTCATCAACAGGAATCTAGGACCAATTGCGCCTATAAAAATGTCAAACATAAGGCTGTAAAAATCTCTTCTCTGTGCTTCACAGCCGTGAGGGAGCCTTTGTCAAACACATGTAGGGTGTGTGTGGTCGTCCAGCATAATACCTATCCAAAATATTACACCTTTACTATCGTAGTGATCCTTTTCCCTGATTATGAAGGGATGGTATCCTGTTCTAGGCTTCCTTCACATCCAGGTACACGAAGATCCAGTGTCCAGGCTGAATTTCGACTCATCTTTAAAAAATTACGGTGCTTCATTGAAGTCTGAGCCAAGGCTCATGTTGTCTGCACCATGTTAAACGCGCTGTCTTGTGTGCTGCAGTGAGCGGGAAGTAAGCAGCGGGACTTCTGGTATACAGCCTTATTTTATGAAGCCTTCGGGCAACTGGGACTGTGAAACTCGGGTTTTAGCGTCAGTATACAGCTTACATGAGAGCTGTAAAGCTGTAGCAGTCCTGTGTCGTAGCTCTGAAAGTGCCAATTAAAGATCATGATTCGTCGTTGTAAATCTTGTTTGACCTGGTCCAGATCTTCTCGATATGGATCCAGGGTCTTGAAACTGTTTTCACAAACTGCAGACGACACTGGGCGGTACATTGAGGACTGTAGTTACCTGCTCTTGTAACTACTAGCCTGCCTCCAGTCTACCGACATTTCTTTATCTAATTCTGTTATCCATACATTCGTGGCTACCCATTTTACCCAATACATTTACAAAATTCTTACTAGAAACACGGCGAATGTCGTCAAAGAGTACATCCCCTCCACAATCACAGATACGCAGACACGAATGTGTATGCTTACAGACTCGCATAATTCTTCCGCGGCATAATTAGTACCATTGGTTCAATACATTTCGTAAAAATAGACATAGTTTGCAAATTCTCTATATTTTGCATACCACTGCATTTGTTCCAAAATTTACTAATGACGATTGAGGCTTCACTTGCTAAAAGTCCTATATTATGGATTCTCATAGAAATTTCTCATTTTCCTTAATAAATTTGCATTTGAATGCTTTTCCAGCATTTAAAACAAAATATGTAATTAATTCCCTTTGATTTATTAAAAACAAGCATAAGAAGTTCATTTTAATATAGTTCTTTAATAAATATAGCACAAAATTACTTTTCTTTACAGGATGGCTTGCAACGGTATCGAAAGACGGAAGAACAGCTGGATATTTCAACAGCGTCGGTGAAGTATCGAGAGCGCTAGTGCGTTTATTTCTCGTTCAAGATGCAGTCGTGGGACTAAAAGCAACAAATGCGGGAATGTGTCGCACAGTAGTAAGTTAAATGCTGTCAACTGCGCATTCAAAGTTGAAACTGAAATGTATTCAATTTAAAATTCTGTTGCAAGAGTATGTAATCTCCGGTGGGAAAAATTAGATTAATGGTACTTTTTATAATGCAAAGTTTAAATATCTTGTGAGGAAATGGATATTCTTAATGCATACTGATAATTACACTGGCGTTAAAAATTAAAACAACTTATGCATTTGGTAAATTATCTCCAGAACTCAGGGAAATACTGTAAGGTAATGTGGTATGGATTTAGTTTAATATAATACAAAAAATACACCATACAATTATCATGTTGTACGCACGTAATCGTACTTGTTCGGGTGGTATCATGTTGTTGTTTCTCATCCCCGTTACCAGCAGAACTAGATCAAGTCCATGAGCCCATTCACCCTGAAAGTGTCCAGTACAAAAAGGGGGTCTTGAACCAAATCCTGTCTGGTAAGCCCCAGACAAGATAAAATGTGATCAACAGAGCCCTGTGCGGTAGAACACCTAATGCATATTTCAAAGTGTTTGTTACCACCGACAAAAGTCATTGATAACAGATGGCCACTAAGGAATCTAGTAAGGGCAGTTTGATCTCGTCTATTGCTGCTCTGAACCAAGGAGCCACCAGGGTATTTACTCTGACACTATGGGTGCACTGGTGGGACCATCCAAACGGTCCTATTTTTTGCCTTACATTTAGAAAATAGTTCCATAAAGTAAGAGGAACCGCAGGTATTGTGGTCTCGCTAGCACCAGCTCTAGTCAAGCTGTCCGCAATTTCATTTCCAGCAACGTCGACATGGGACGGAATCCATTGAAAGTGAATCCGATGAGAAAAGGAAAGTTGTTTTAGTCTCCTGTCTCCTGAGAATGTCTGCACTTTATTATCCCTCACATTATGCCAATCAACCAAGTGCTGCACGGCACTTCTACTATCCGAAAAGATTCAAATATCTTTTAACTGAGGAAGCCACATGATGGAGTCCAGACTCTCCAGAATTGCAATAAACTTGCTTCGAAATACCGAGCAGAAGTCTGGATTTCTTCTTTGAATTCTTATTTCTTGATCCCGAAATCTAATATAAATGCCACTACCAGAACAGTCAATAACAAGTTTACTGTCGTCCGTATACATGTGGACAGCGTCCATAGGGACATTATTAATTATTTCAAGAGGTAACTGTTTCAAGAAGCATGGCAATCCATCTGTTTGCTGACTTGGACAGAAAGGTTAATATGAAAGTAAACCCCATCCAGACCTCCAAAGGGGTCGATAATCTGAGACAGGCTGTGATGTTCTGTAGAACTGGCGATAAGGTGGTCAGAAACAACCTGTCCAAAGGGAGTACCACGTTTGAGCCTCTGGTAATTGCTCCATGACCCTAGAAATTTCGAGGTACAATTCTGGAGGCCAAGACTGGAGAGCTTATTGTGGTATTTCACTAAACATGCATTTCTCCTAAGACTTAAAGGAGCCCACCAGCGGCCGAGCGGTAAAGTCGCTGAACACTGGTAGTTCGGTCCGAGGTTCGAATCCCGCGAACGGGCTGGCTGCATGGGTGTTTTCGTGGTTTTCCCCATGTGTAACGTGTATACGAGCCAGTTTTCCTTAGAAAGTCCTCCACGAAGGCATCCCTCCCCTTAGGCAGATAGCCCTAGAGTGCTTTACCATAATTCCATACACCACACCAACACCACACCACCTAAGACTTAAAGGCGGCAGATGGGCTTCATAAAGCACGATATCTTTCGGGCATGAACTGCAAAGGACAGTAATAATCGTTGCAGCACTAAGCTGTACACGTTCAAGTTTCTGTAGGTTTGAATCAGAGGCACAACAAAAGACGGGGAAGCCGTACTCCAAAATGGGTCGAATAAGGGAAACGGGTGTTTCTGAGGGTACTAGCATCGGCACCCCAATCACGGCCCGAGATGTACTTAAGGATATTAATGCGTTTCTTAGCTCTCAAAACAAGATATTTCAACTGGCTATTACCTAAAATCTCAGAATCCAATAGGAAGCCCAAATACTTTGGGTGTTTCTCCACTTAAAAAGGCTGACTGTTCAACATGATTCTTGGTCGAAAATTACATAATTTTCTATTGGTTGTGAAGAAACTCACAGTAATAGTTTTGAAGGGTTAAAACTTAATTTGTGGTCTACAGCAAAGCTCCACATGTCAGTTAGAGCCAGATTCATACTCTCCTCGACCTTTCCAATATCAGAGCCGGAACTCCAAAGAACAATGTCATCTGCAAATAGTCCAATTTCACAGTTCCCAGGAATTACTTTTTCAATTCCTGCAATATCACAAGTACATAAAAAGTAAGCGAAGAAAATAGAATATATTTAAATTTAATAAAAGATAAACCTAATTTCCAACGTTAATTTATTAAGATAATCTAATAAACATACATAACGACAATATTTAAAAAAACGCGAATTACATAGAATAGATACCAAACGAAAAGCAATAAAACTGCGATTTGCAATCAATAAAAAATATTTAGTGCTTTTTAATATTACACAATTAAATATCACATAATTATAAATTGCAATATTTCATAGTAATGCTAATGTTTCCTTAACACTATTTTTTCGATCATACATTTCATACACTTTAAAATCATTAACCTTTTCTGCATACTATACAAAAGACAACATAATATAGAATGTGCATTATTATTAATTTTAATATATTCCTTGTACTTTTCTAGTATGTTATTACATATATCTAATTCATCTTCTGCGGTCATATTAAGTACCAGTCCAATAATTTCTTTCTATTTTGAAACTCATGAGCATACCATAACAGCTTGAATTGTTGTTGCTTCTGCATGGATTGCATTTTCAGCAAAATCAGAAAATGCCTTAACGTTGTATGTTGTTTTTGGTTTTTTATGAATTAAATTCTGAGCACCAACACAATAATCGATTAATATGAATGATATACGATATAGCACGTACGACGTTATAACCGAATCGCTAATCCGTGTATCCAAATATTGCACTGCTGGGGTCACTGAAGATTGGAGAAAACCACCACATAATTTTAATCACTGGTAACACATAAAACACCAAAACCGAACACTATTTCACTATATATGGACGATTTTAGCACACTGCAAACGATATTTTCTTTAAACAATGCATCCAGAATTCAAAATTTTGGTGTGGTCTTGTAGAGCAGATATTCACAAACAAAATAAGCAGAAATTCGGCACTAAAACGATGCTTTCTCCTCAATTCAAAATAAACTGCCATCACTATATTCTTGTGCATCATTCTCTTTCTGTATTGAAGCTCTCCAATATTTAATTACAGTGAAATTCAAAACCGGGAAGAAAACACTCCTGAAAATAAGATGGAGTCTGAAATTTATTGCGCAGTTAACTAACGTGTTCGAATTTGGCAGTTAGCCAAAGCGCGCAACCCTCGAACTCAGGTGTTCCTTTATATAATCATCCAGTAAATTATACACATGGAATGTCAAGCGGTTGAACGGCGTTTCAGTGTAACTTTTCAGCGAGTTATACGATTGCATTAAACCTTTCGACGGTTCTTCTGATAATTTAATAGAATCTTTTTTAAATGGCTTAGAAGAATTATTTCAACTGAATAGAATTACGAATAATGCTCACAAGATTATATTTACAAAAAATATTTATTGGGCTCTCTAAAACATTTGTAATGTCAATAGAGCCAAATCCCGAGTGTACCGTATGCTAGGATTACACCAAGCATTTTTAAATGCATGGAGATGGACAAAAACGTAACAAACAGTTCATCAGAACTTTTGTAGGTCATGAATTTCGTATTTTTGTTCACAGTTTCTCTAATTTTGATGTCAACATTTATTAGTAATTTATCAAAGTCATTAATTTTGTCGTTTTCCATTAAAAGTGTTAATATTTCTTTCTCATTTTCCATTAATTTTCCGTCAGATATTTTGGAGACAGCCGTTAACTATGAATGGATATGCAACGTCTTTTAACACTGGACGTTTTCTCGGAATTCTTAAAATCGCCCCATTTATAATCGTGAATACATCTTCACGCACAATCATATCTTCGCGAAAATTGTAATTTTTGCTCTGTATGCAGTAAAAATGTTTCATATTATGTCAGCATATTAATTCAAATAAATTCGTCCTTACTTCAAAAATAATAAATAAAGTCATATTTCAGCAGTAAAATAATTGCTAACATGTGATTTGCATTGATTTCGGAAATATGATTTTTTAAAATATATAAAATGCATAACTTAATAACTTACTTTATAGATTAGTTTCATTTTTAAATATTTTGCTATAATAAGAGAAGATGGAGACAGCTGACAGGTGAGAGCAGGTCCGGACACCCGGACGGCTTACATAGACTAGTCGGGTATCGTCCGGATCCCGCAACGAAGATGGAGACAAGTGGCAAGTGACGGAGGACGTGACCACTACCTCTTTGCTAAGAGTTAATTAGCATAGGGTCACGCCCACCCTTATCTAGAGGTAACCGTGGGGCCTGACGTGCGGCTCGCACGAGACGCCCAGACAAAACGCCGGATTCATCCCAGGAGCAGTTCGACGAACAAAAGGGCCCCTGGGAATTTATTACAAACTAAAGAGTAATACAGTGCCATACAGGGGCATGTGAGCATAGGTTGCTTACAAATTAATACATTTCCATTGGTTGCTTACAAATTAATACATTTACATTGGTGAAATACAATATACAGATTACATTAATTACAAAGTCTAATGAAACCATACTAAGGATCCAATTAGTGGGAAATTCCACCATGCAGAGTCAGTTATATGCAAATAGTTGGCAGTACGTTAATGGTTCACGTTGTAACTAATGCCCTCGAGGTATAGCATATGCCTTTGTAGATGAAATGCAAAGTCACATAATTCACACGTAATAGTTATATACACTGATGTGATGATCACACATTGATGACACATTTGCGCTGCAGAGCTTATGCCTTTATATAGAAATGC